GTAATTAATGATTTAAGTCAGAATCGTTGTGATTAAGGACTTATGGCTTGGTATGGAGCCTTAAGACGTAAAAAGTAAGGAAAGACGTTGTTTTTAAGTTATATGTTTGTGTTACATTATTATTGATATAGTATTGGTCCATAACAGATTGTGAATCTGCTGTGTTTGGACTTTGAGCTGTGGACTCTTGGCCTTGGGTGTTAGCTTGCAAGGTAAGCTTTCGTATCCTCGGTTTAGCTATGTTGTGGTTCCACCATGTCCCATGGGGGTATGGTTGTATGCATGCTGTGTTACATGCTTTGATTATTTGAAATGTTGTTGAGCTTTATGTGTAATGGCTTTTAATATGCATGTGTTGTTTCATCTTGACGGTAAGCCTGAGTATGTGGCGTCATACAATATGGTGATCCGGGGTGAATGCAAGTAGCGTCTTGCACTAATGTGGGTATTTAGCGTATGTAAATCCTGCATTTCTCTGGCCAGTAGAATAGAATTGACACACATGACATGATTATCTGCTGCATTGCACTATTTTAGAACTGATGATGATATCTGCTTTTAAACTTATATTGCACATGTAAGTGAGCTTGGGGTGGAAGATCCTTGAGGACCCCTTGTCTTACTGAGATTTCTTGTTTAGAGATCTCACCCCACGTTTGGGGAATGCTTATTTCAGGTTCCGGTAGTTTGGTGACTGATGCCTCTGGCGGCAGGAGGCCAGAGCTTAGTTGATGATATTATGCTGTTTGCTGCCATGACTAGATATGGATGTTGTTTATGTTTTCCTCTATTTACGTTTATGTTGTTATTGAGACTGATGTTGGGCATGTTGCCTTATTTGAGTGAGCATGGGGATTGTCCATGACACTTTATGTTAGTGCTTTTGATTTGGAGTTGTATAAACTGTTAGATGGCCCGGTCTACGTTGTTGTAGTTCCGTGACTAGAGCCACACTTTTATTATATATGTTATGAGGTATTTTCAGATAGCTGTTTTATTGCAATTACATACAGGCGATGTTTTATTAATTGATTAATAAGCAAGGTGGTAATGATAATGACATCATAATTGAAAAGAAAAAGATATTCCGCATTTTTAATTAAGCGCTGCTTAATACGATAGTATGATAACATTACCGGATATATACGGGGTGTTACATATTCAATAGTAGCTCCACCCAAAGTGAATACATATCCACTGGTGAACTTACTATTTCTGATTTCTGAACACCATGACGTATCAGAATATTAATCCACAATTGAAGGATAACCAGAGTAGTGTAGAGCATAATCTTTAGTACCTTTAGGATATCGCATCAGCCTATCGAGGGCATCCCAATGCTCTTTACTAGGATTACTAGTGAAATGACTCAGCATGCCAACTGTAAAGGCTATGTCAGGTCTAGTGCAACTTGCAGCATATATGAGACTACCAATCAGTTTTGAATACTTTAACTGACCCATACTGGTCCCTTCATGAGGACTCAGTCTTTTATTATAATCACATGGTGTCTCACTCAGTTTGCACTCACTGTATCCCCAGGTAGAAAGTAGCTGCTCAATATAATGAGTCTGGCTAAGGGAGATAACTTGCCTATCAAAGCTTACTTTCATACCAAGAATGGTATTTGCAATACCAAGATCTTTCATGTCAAATTATTTAGCTAAATTAGCTTTCATGTCACTCACTACAGAATGATCAACACCAAGAATAAACATGTCATCCACTAGTTGTCTTTACATCCATTTCATGCACTACATAGTGTTCAATAGATGTCAAAGCAAGAAGAATTCTTATAGTTGATAGATAACACACAGGTGAGTTGACACCAAATAGTCTACTTCACTTTGTTTTCTATAGCCTTTAGCTACAAAATATGCTTTGTATCTGGCTATCGATCCATCACTATTCAGTTTCTTCTTCACTACCAACTTACAACCTATAGCCTTAGCCCCTTTCGACAAATTGATTAGTTGTTAAGTATGATTATGCAGCAGAGAGCTCATTTCATCATCTATGGCTTCTGCCCACAGTAGAGATTCCCTAGATCTCATTGCTTCCTGATAGGAGAATGGATCATCCTCTAGATGGTAAGTGACAAAGTCCTCGCCAAAGTCTTTGGGAACTCTCTCTCTCATAGATACTCTAACTGGAACTGATTCAACAACCAGTTGTGTGGGGTAAGTGTCAGAAAGGCTTGCATCAGATTCTATAGGAGATTATAAAATCATATTTGTAGATCTAGAAACACTCAAGCCAAGATCTTTGATAAATTTATTCTCAAAAAAATTGCATCTCTGGATTCTATCACCGCAGTTGTAGATAGATCCAAAAATTTATTTGCAGCATTGTCTTTTGCACTTCCTAGATATACGCAAGTAATGGTTCTAGGTCCCACCTTAGGCCTGTTAGGATATTGTATTCTTACATAAGCAATACATCCCCAAGTCTTAAGAGTATCATATCTACAAGAGTGCTTATGCCATATCTCATAAGGAGTCATAGATAACTTAGAGTGCGGCAACTGTTCAGGATGTGATTGGCAGTTAGAACTGCTTCTCCCCAATAGGAGGAAGGCATGCCAGCTGTAAGTAACATAGAGTTTAAAATTTCAGTTAATGTCCTATTCTTGCGCTCAGCAACACCATTTGATTGGGGTGAGTAAGGAGCAGTGGTTTCAAGTATTATGCCCTCTGAAGCGCAAAAATTCCTCGAACCCTGCCATTGTGTACTCTCCTCCTCTATCACTCCTAAACCTCTTACTTTTCAAGTTGAGTTGATTTTCTACTCTTGACTTGAAAATCTAGAACCTTTCAAAACTTTATCTTTCGATTTCAACAAATAAACATGACAATATCTAGAAAAATCATCTATGAATGTTATTAAGTACTTCTGACCACCTCTAGTAATATAATTTCTAAAGTCACAAAGGTCAAAATGTATCAGATCAAGAAGTTGTGTGCTTTTAGAAACCGACTTAAAAGGTTTTCTAGTGATCTTAGTTTGTGCACATACTTCACATTTGTCAAATCGAATAGAAGCATCTAATAGAGTATTAAGAGTTTTAGCTAGATGTTGCATTTTCTTGTAGTTCACATGTCCAAGTCTATTATGTAACAACTTTGGATCAATCAAAGTTGAACTCACATGGTTTATGCTCACAGTATCTAAACTCAATCTATACATACCATTAATCATGAATGCACAGCCAAAATAACAAGAGTTAACAAATAACTTCTCTGCTATGAGAGTTTTGGAGAGTTCCTCTTGTTTTGGAACTAAGTATTCAAGTGATTTCATATCTTTTTCCATCGTCTTATATTCACTACAAGTCATAGCTAGATGGATATTTAGAGAATTTAGCAAGTAATCCCTACAAATATATTCATCTTTGTTCCATTGATATTAATCCACAATTTCTGATGATAAATGCAAGATCATTTAATACATTATGAAATATTTCATGTTCTTCCATGCCTAATTGAACATGTAATTTCCAACCATAAAATTCAATAACATCAAATGATTTCATTTCATAATATCATAGGAACTATATGTAGGCATTTTAATCAAAGCTAAGAGTTAGAAAGAGTGCACCTTGTAGTTCACAGACTTCACAAATTAAAGCAAAGGCTCTAACTTTCATCAAACTGCTCTGTAGATTTGAAATTTGCCAAAATAGATCCCTAAAACAGATCCGGAGCGCCCAAAAACCTTAAGATAGACTACTCCTGTTACCAGAAACTCACCGGAACATTTTTTGATTTTTAAAATGTCCCCTACGGAATATTCCCCAACTAACAGAATATTCCTTTTCGCAGGAATATTCTTTTTCGCATAAAAGTGTACTCAAAACTTCAAAAGGCCATATCTCCTTCGTCTGATCTCCGTTTAAGGGAGTGACCACTCAAAACGATCGTCTCGACGAGTAGAACAAATCCCATTAGGTTTAACTTTCTGAAAATGGCCAAAATTTTCGGGATCTGGACCGAAAAGTTGCGGCTCCAGTTTCTTCAAACTCAGATCCCGGTAAATCCTTCCGTCGAATCGCGAAAATGATTTAAATTATGAGTTCCACTCGATGATATCTTCGAATAGACACCTTACTCGCTCAAATTCGACAGACGAAGCTAATACTTCAAGATTGTTGGAGGTTATGAGTTTGAAAAAGAAGAGTTTAGAGGTGATTGAAATATTACACCAAGAGACATCAAATTTGAAATGCTCAACAGTGTTACCTCCAGCTTAGGCTGTTTAAAACAAAAGTTTAAGTTATTAAGGGAAGTCATGTTAATAATTTTATTATATATTTCTAACAACTACAGAGACCAATAACATGAGATTGTGATCTGAAATCTCATGATACTTGTGGCATTTGGGGTTATTCAGTTGAGTGGAAAAACATAAATATGAAATCGCGTTGTGAGTGGAGCATAATGTTGAGATATATAGTCTCACATTGGTTGTATGAGCAACTAATGTAGAGTTTATAAGGCCTTGGACACTCTCACCCTTTGAGCTAGCTTTTGAGGTGGTGTATCACAAGGTTTATCAGAGCCTTGCCGCCCCCCACTTTCTCTTGTGGCGTTTCTTAGCACAGGTAGGCTGGGCCTGTTGCATATTGTCCACTCTTCAAGCCTAATAGGCTCTTGTGTGAGGGGGCGTGTTAAGATATATAGTCTCACATTGGTTGTATGTGCAACTAATGTGGAGTTTATAAGGTCTTGGACACTCCCACCTTTGAGCTAGCTTTTGGGGTGGTGTATCCCAATGTACTTTACACGTAATAACATAGGCTGCTTAAGACTTTTGAGCCGAAGACATTCAACTTTTGGAGCGTGAGTGAGTATGAATCACGTTGTGAGTGGGACGACCATGATGGCAAGGACTTCCGAGGCAATGTTGAAGTTCCACTAAATCATGCTGAATTATGTCACATATTTTTACTTATAAATAGTGAAGGAAATTAAGGACTTCACATAATAGCCGAACTGAATCATAATATAGCTGAGAAATGAGGTTGGCTTTTGTATTGAGTTCCCTTTTCTATTTTGTGGCTTTGCTAATTCAAAATCAAAGATGTCACGGCTGCTTAGTGAAGGAGAGAATGGGCCTTCTCCATATCAAGTCCTATTTCCTAGCGCACGTTGGTAAGGATGCTAACACTGAATTGGAATCGTGGGTTGATGACAGAGGCAGCAATTGTTGCGAATGGAAGAGAGTCAAATGCTCTAACCTCTCAACTGGTCACGTAACATTCCTCAACCTGTCTAGCATCGAGTTTTCTAGTGCTTACACTTCGGTAATGTTAAACGTTTCCATATTTGGTCCATTTGAAGAGTTGCTCAGCCTCGACTTGTCTTGGAACATCATTACAGGCTTGATTGGCAACGAAGGTTTCTTGTTCCTATGGGCCATTCTAGCTCTACTTATATACTTCTTCACATTGCTTTCTGTTTTGCAAATTTTCAAATAATAAATAAATGAAACATTTTTCTTTTGACAAAATATTATGCATATTTGTTACCAAGTTTGAATTTCTCACACCTTGTTTCTCTTGAAGGATTGAACAAGTTGGAGACCCTAGACCTTTCAGGAAACTTGCTAAATAACAGCATCTTTCCAAGTCTGAATGGATTACCATTGCTAAAAAGTTTGAAGCTCGGTTTCAACCATATTGATGATTTTAAAGGCATGTATGTATCTTTATTATGTTTATTATTATTATTATTATTTTTCTGTGATTATACCAACGATGGATCACAGTACTTGACTATTTTCCTATATGACAAAAAAGGTATTTTATTCTCTTTTTTTCTTTTTTAATGTTTCCTTGCCACAGATTTCGTCAATTTTAGTCGGTTGGAACTGCTGGACCTAAGTTCCAATTTTTTGGAGGGTTCCATAGACGACAGAGGTACTTATCATTATTGTTGTTTTTTTGAACTTGAACCGTATAGATCCAAACATTATTTACTGCTAGTGTGACCAAAAAAAATAAAAATAAAAAATAGCTTAAATACAGTTTCAATATTTTTAAATGTCCCTTTCTTATTTTATTCATAATAAATTATTATATTTATTATAAAAATTTAATGTAAAGTTTATATTCCTGATTGTCTCACTAAAAATAGTTTTTTTCTTTTTTTTACCCTCTAAAGTATATGCTTTAGACTAAGGGTTAATCTTTTCTTATGTTATATGAAAAAAGATTAATCTCCTACCCACAAAGTAGAGGAGAGAGGCGAGAGAATAAAGGAGAGAGAAAAAATATAGAGTGAGCTCCATATTTGATTTGTGTGTATAGGAGAAAAATATTTTCTCATATGTAACATGAGAAAATATTAACCCTTAAACTAAATTATCCCTAATAACGAACACTAGGAAAAACTTGCTGTATATCAACGTTAAGATATCTTTATTTTTTCACTAGGATTAGAAATTCAAATGTCAATAAAATAAGTCCCACAATACAAAGGTGTTGATTCAATAATATTCATATAAGATCAAATGGTGGTAGCTCAGTTGATAATATTGGAGTTGAGTAAATGGAAAGGAAAGGGCCCCGATTCAATCCCTATATGTCACCTTTGGGAGGAGTTTAAATATTTTCATCCTTGATCCGCCCCGCACTCATAATTAGTCTCATAACTGGCTCAAAAAGTCGAAACTTATGAGAATACAGGGAAAAGCCAACATGATTTGGGTAACTCCAAAAAATAAATAAAAATATTCATATAAGTAAAAGATTTGTAACTTTCAAAATACATAGGATTTTAACCCTAGATAGCAACTTTTTATTTATGGGATTTGCATCTATCATGTCACATGACATAAAAAAGTTTCCTACACACATAATATTTTGTGGAGCCGACACTTTTTAAAGCAAAAATAAAATAAAATTAAGACACGTAAAACGAATCTCTATAACATTACACGATCATTTTTCCTACAACATAACTCTTATAAAACCCTTTATATATAGGGAATAATCTCAAACTTGGGCTTTCTATCAATGGGTCTTATTTTACAAAGTGGGTGCTTAGATGTGCATGCGTAGGCATTCTCAAGACTGAAAATATGGTGTTATAAAGATTTTTTAGGTCAACTTAGTACTTTGTTTATAGAAAGTGGCATGAGAATAAACAACCTCAATGGAACTTTCAAGGAAGGACTAAGTAGATGATGTTTTTATAATTTGGACACTAGCTAGATTGATAGAAACATTCCTCTTGGATCGGAAAACTAAATTGATATTATTCTGTTACAAGGCTTCAGTTTATTATTTATTAATAATCAATTGTATCATAATTTATTTTCTCATGTTATACTTCAAAACTAATTTATTTCTCTAACATAGCCTCTCCTTTGAAAATTCTTTTCGGTTTTGATCTTAATAAGAAGCTTTTCTCGACTTTGTATATTACCAAATGTATGTCCCCTCCTCTCATGTATCAAAAAGGAATAATTTGTTTTATTTCTTTCTGAAAGTAAAGGAATGGTGGTATTTGTTTTTGAGAAAGTTTAACTTGAAATGAAGAATAAATTCACGCCCATTGAATTTCATAGTTATTCTTGTTATATTTTTAATACTCATTAGGGAAATACTTTTCTTATGTCGTAGGAAAATGGTTATCTTATATTGTAGAAATAAAATTACAAGTGGGACCCGTAAGTAAGAGGAGAGAAAAAAAAAAGATGGAACATACCCCTTTTTTGTGTGTAAAAAATTTATTTCTCTTATGTAAAATGAGATAAATATAACCCTTAATTTTATGCCAAAAATGTCTTAATCATTTTGTTTAAATTTTTATATTTACTTTTTTCGTAAATAAATTAAGTTGTTTAATAAATTTTTTAAGGGCCCAGATAATAATAAACTGGCCCAAAAATGTTCATCATATAAATATAAAGAAAATGACGCAGACGTGCGCGCGCACATGTAAGTTTATTTTGTTTGATTTTTTAAATGAAAAAGAAATCTGAACTGAATTAAATTAACAGTAACTATGTTTTATATTTTGTTTTCTATTAGATTATTTATTTTGGTTATAAGCAATAATAATATTTTTAATACCCGACAGATAACATAAATCAAATCATGGTAAAAACTTCAATATGGGCAGAGTTAGATATTATCACAAATTTGTTACTGGCTCATAAATATTATTTATCTCTAACAATATTTTTCTTATTACAGATCTTCAGAATGGAAATCATTTGAACGGCTCAATAGAAGGTATTATAAAAGTAATTTAACACACGCATACATTATTTGCTTGGAATAGGGAAAAACCTAATTATGGGATGTTAATATATTTTGTTTTCCATTAGACTATTTGCTTTGGTTATAAGCACTAATAATATTTTTAAAACCGAACAGACAACGTTAAAAAAATCAAGGTAAAGACTGCAATCGATGATATTGCCAGGCTTCGATATTATGACAAATTTGTTACAGGCTCATAAATATTATTTATGCTAACAATATTTTTCTTATTACAGATCTTCAGAAATTGAGAAAATTAAAGGTGCTAGACTTATCTGGAAATCAATTGAACGGCTCAATAGAAGGTATCGTAAAAGTAATTTAATACATGCATACATTGTTTGCTTGGAATAGGGAAAAACATAATTATGGGATGTTAATATATTTTGTTTTCCATTAGACTATTTGCTTTGGTTATAAGCATTAATAATATTTTTAATACCGAACAGACAACGTAAAACAAATCATGGTAAAAACTTAATCGGTGATATATATATGGCCAGACTTTGATATTATGACAAATTTGTTACATGCTTATAAATATTATTTATCTCTAACAATATTTTTCTTGTTACAGATCTTCAGAAATTGGAAAACTTAAAAGTGTTAGACTTATCTAACAATCAATTGAACGGCTCAATAGAAGGTATCATAAAAATACATACATATATAATTTGTTTGGAAATATTATTTAGGGAAAAAAAATTACGGCATTCTAATAAAATACTTATTTTAAATTTTTTGTTAAATATTTTTTAAAATCTTACAATTGAACTCGTGCTTTTATTTTTCTATTAACAAGAATTGTAAAATAAGCTAATAATTAATAATCCTTTAAAAATTTTAAGAAATATTTTAATTATAAATCCTAAACTTAAAAATATATATGTTCAAAATGACACCTTAAATAATTATTAATATTTCTTCTTTAACATTTAGTGGCATGATATTATTTCTAAACAACTTTGCATACTTAAGAATTGTTTCCAAAATGAAGGATACACAATGCAAAATGTGACCTATATATATATATTATTTATGGCAGGATTCTGCAAAATGAAGGATCTTGTAGAGTTGGGTCTTAGTGAAAACTTGTTTAGTGGTCCAATTCCAGAGTGTCTAAGTATATTAAGGAACCTCCAAGTCCTTGATTTCTCCCATAATCTGTTCAGTGGCAATTTTCCATCATTCACAAGTAATCTCACATCTCTAGTGTACTTGTCTTTCCTTGACAATTACCTACAAGGATCATTTTTATTGAGCACTTTGGCTAACCATTCCAACCTCGAGGATCTATATATTAATTCTCTAAGAACTACTGCACAAGTTGAAACCGAAAAGAAACACTGGGTTCCGACATTTCAACTGAAATCCCTCATTCTTCGAAGCTGCAACTTGAACATGGATAAAGGAGGGACCTTTCCTAGTTTTCTTCTATATCAAAAAGACTTGCGATTTATCGATCTATCCCATAACAAATTAGTTGGAGCATTCCCAAGTTGGTTGATACAAAATAATTCAAGACTCCAATATTTCTTTTTGATGAATAACTCATTTGTGGGGAACTTTCAACTATCCTCTATCGGACAAGACATTTATCATTTGGATATATCAAACAACAATTTCAATGGTTTGCTGCCGATAAATATTGGTACTTTCCTTCCAGAGATTAAGAGGTTGAATCTGTCTATAAACCACTTTGAAGGAGATATACATGCATCAATGGGTAAAATGCAACAACTTTCCGTCTTGGATTTGTCTGATAATTTCTTCTCAGGTGAGTTACCTGAACAACTAGCCACAAATTTGACTAATCTGCAAAGGTTGAAGCTTTCAAATAACTTTCTCCAAGGGAATATTCCCAAATTTTCTAATTTTACTGAGCTATATCTTAACAATAACAAACTCAATGGCACTCTTAAAGAAGTATTGGAAAATATAAACAGTGAAGAATTGATGATACTAGACATATCCAATAATTCAATCTCAGGTGAAATTCCTGCATCAATTGGGAAGTTTTCATCAATCGATATTCTTCTTATGGCAGAAAATCAATTAGAAGGTGAGATCCCATTTGAGTTTTCCAACCTGACAAGCCTTTATATGTTAGATCTTTCTCAAAATAGATTATTAGGGTCAATCTCCAGTATCATTCTTTCATCCATGAATTTCTTGTATTTGCAAAAGAATGCTTTCTCGGGCTCTATACCTTTCACATTGTCTGAAGGATCACAGCTAATAACTCTAGACTTGGGAAATAATAACTTTTCTGGGAGTATTCCTTATTGGATGGAAAAGCTGTCAAATCTAAGAGTGCTTTTACTAGGAGGGAACAATTTTCATGGCCATATCCCAATCCAATTATGTCAATTAAAAGATATCACCATTATGGATCTTTCACGCAACAAGCTCAATGGTTCAATACCATCTTGCTTTAATAATTTGTCATTTGGAATGGTAGATCATGACCCTATATTTCAATTTCGATGGTGGCCATCTGACCTTGAAGACAAAACCTTTTTTTATTCTAGAAACTTACTTAATGTAAGTGTGTCACTGTATATGCTGCATGAGCTTGTTAATGATGAGTTAGTCTTTAATGAGGAGTTAGCCTTTAATGAGGTAACAAAAACAACTGTTGAATTTAGAACGAAGAATAACTACTACTCTTATAGAGGCAGAATTTTAGAGAACATGACTGGATTGGATTTATCAAGCAATATGCTTACCGGTGTCATTCCTTCTCAAATAGGAAACCTTAAAAAAATTCATGCCTTGAACCTATCCCACAATTGCTTGTCAGGTTCTATTCCAAACACTTTTTCCAATCTTACACAGATAGAGAGTCTTGACTTGTCCTACAACAACTTTATTGGTGAGATACCTTCTCAACTAACACAGTTGTACTCTTTATCAATCTTCAATGTGTCATACAACAATCTATCTGGAACACCACCGAGTACAGGACAGTTTGGAGACTTTGATGAGGACAACTACAGAGGTAATCCTGGTCTCTGTGGACCACTACTGAAGCAGAAGTGTGAAGGTGTTGCACCTCCGCCATCATCAGAATCCAACAACAGGGGAGGAAAGGAAACAACAGTGGACATGGAAGCATTCTATTGGAGTTTTTGTGCATCCTATATAACAATATTGTTGGGGTTCATAATGGTGTTCTACATAAATGCTTATTGGCGCATGGCTTTGTTTTATTATATGGGCAAGCTTATACGTACATGTTTTCCATCGTTTCCTCTGTATTGAAAAATATCATTTGTTGTGATTATATGTTTTCCTATATGAAACCTTAAGAACATTCCCACAAATAATCCCAATACTTTGGGACACTATTTTAGTATTTGAATTAAAATGGAGAGGTTGATGTTCTCTTTCTCTCTTTTTGCATTGTGCCCTTTTTCGCGTTTTTGGGGAAGAACAAGGAAGAGCTCTTGCTTCTTTCAGATGGTTCTTTTCTGTTTTTAATTAAGGGAAATATAAGAATCATGTTTCACGAATTCTTGTAATAGAAAAAATAACTATGTATTACAGGTAGAACATAATTATAAGGGATATGAAAAAAACTTTAATATTATAACTAGGGTAAGGTTATACTTACAACCTATTTTCGTTTACAACCTCTTACAACAATATCTTAACTATTGATTTCCGTCAATCAACGGTTAAGATTTTCGCAAAACAAATTTATTAATTAATTATTAATTCGTAATAAATGATAACCGTTGATTGACGAAAATCAACGGTTAAGATATGGTTGTAAGAAGTTGTAAACGAAAATAGGTTATAAATATAACATTCCTTTTATAACTCTATGTACTACCCATAGTACATAGTTATAAGGGATATGGAAAAAATAATAATTATATATTATTCATAATATATAGTTTTTTTTTTTTTTTTTGCAGGATGTCCTACGACAGGATCGAGAACCCTTTAAATAATATTATTGCTTTGCCCTTCTTTTTATTTTAAGGAAAACTCTTCATGCATGTCTCTGTTTTATATTCCTATGCTTTTGCAATTAGATTCATGAGTGGGGATTGGATTACCTTTTTTTTTTTTTGGACGACAGCATTACTTTTATTTCTTCTTAACTTTCCTGAAGTTTTTAAAATAGAAAAAAAAAATTGTGGAAGATTCCAAGAAATTGTATTTACATTCTTTTATAAAACCCATGAGATTATAAAATGTAATATTATTAAAAAAAATTCCTGCAAAAACTCTAGGAAAAAAAATGACACATGAGATGTTATTTTTATACCTATAATGCTCTAATTAAAATTGTCTTAGACAAATAACAGAAGTAATAAATTAAAACAAAAAAACGTTACTAAATTTTATACCCATGAGATTATGTTTTTGTACTAAATTTTAAAAACTTAATTTGATAGAAACAACTATATCAAGATCCTGCACAACATTATCTTGCTCATTAATGGATTTTATATACAAAAAAGAATTTGACTCCAAAATTCTTGGTAGTAGTTGTATGTTAGTCTTGTAATATCTTAGCCTTAATGTAAATTCTGATAACAACTATACCATTTTGATTTTGGCCTACAATTAAGAAAAAGAATGTATTTCAGTTTCTTCTTTTGAATGGAAGTAAAGATAGATAGGAAAAGTGACTCACTATTTATTGAAAAGGTTTTTAAGAAGAGAAAGAGTAGGCCAAGGAAGATTTCTCCTCCTAAGGTTTTTCCTGCATTAATTTTTTTTTTCTTTTATAGAGGATTTCATATTACAAGTTTGACTTGTCATTGTGGCAATGGAAATAAATAAAAAATGCACATACGACATAATCAATGTGTAACTAGAAAATCATAAAAGAAAATGGAAAAGAATACATTAAAACGCAATAAAATAGTCACATTCAAAAGCAAATTTCTTAACGATCATTGATGTTGTTGACATAAGATTTAAGAGACGGAGGGAAAAAGTTTAAATTATATAAAAAAGAGTATAAAGTATCTTAAATTTTACACTATTTGTTCAAGGACAGGTTATATTTACAAACTTTTTTGTTTACAAATTACACTACGTTCTCCCGGGAGAACACTCGTTACACTATGTTCTCTGTTCTCCTGGGAGAACATAGTGTTATTTGTAAAAAATTTCAAAAAAAATTTGTAAACGGATCTTTCTCCTTTTTTCAAATAGGCACTTTTAACTTTTAACATTTAAATAAAGGGTTTTATAATTCTCATTTAACATCAGATTTTGAATTTTCCTACACACCCTTCGATTTCCGTACCAACGTGGGTGCTACACATAATTTTTTCTATCATAAGGGTTCCACATGCTTTTTGTCTCTACAACATGAGAATTCAATTCTCATGTTGAATGAGAAATATAAAACCCTTAAATAAATCCTGACCGTAATCTTTATTAGATCTAGCTATGATGAACAAAGTATATCAGCTTCATTTAAATTTTATCAGGCGTATCTTTCCATACAAACTTTATCAAGGATATATATAGTACGAAACAATGAGAACATTCATCTTCATAATCAGCATCAACAACAAATTTATCCCAAACATTCATCTTCATAATATAATAGAAAAAATACCTCGTGTCATATCGATTAAATTATAACAATTTTCATAAACTTACACCATAAATCATGTCACTTTATTCTCTCGCTCAATCACAAAAAGTAGCATATTACGATAAAAAAAAAAGAAAAAAGGAAGAAAAACTTCAATATTAACTAGTCCAGATTACTTAAGTGGCATTATGCAATAAGGGAGTGCTGGAGAGCAGAGATACATTCTTCTCAATTTCCATTGTGATCTTTCGGTCTGTAGTCCTATTGTTCAAAAAATTTGAGTACCACAAAGCAGAAAGCTTGGGTTGCCTCCTCAAGCTTGGATCTTTAAGATCTATGTAATATAGCCCATAACTAGATTCATATCCACCCAATAACTCGAACACATCCAACAAGGCCCATATAAAATATCCTCGTACATTCAGCCCATTCCTTTCAATGTGACAAGTATGATGAAAAAGATGGACAGTGGAAAGAAGAGAGAAAAGAAAAGAAAAACAAAGTCCATAAGCATTAAGAAAATACTAATAAAAACTTTGAATTGCTTAATGGATGCATTTATTGGAAATAAAGTAGAGTGAAACCGAAGGAATGCTGAAAATGAAAATCATGCTAACACATCATACACCCTTTGTAGTTTGTAGAGTCCCAACTTGAAAACAAAAATAGAAGTACCTTAGTACATCAAGCATGCTACCAATGTATTCATGAAAGAACTTCACCCTTGGCCAGTCATCCAATGACGAATTCCGAGGTGTTTGTTGACCTGAGAGATTCAAGGATTTATCATAACACTAGAAGAAACAAAGATGATTTTGTCAATAAAAGGATTGTGAAGCTTTTGAAATGTTGACCTCATGAAGACATACCATTTTCATGAATGTAAATTGGAAAATTGCCATAAATGTTCTTCAATGAGTGAAGCAAACTTTGCAAAATCCAGGGTGTAATTGGAACCTATATCAACCAGCTTGTTAGCGGAAAACATTGAAGTCCCATGTTCAATGAATAAGAGGAATATCACCATGTTCATACTCTACTCTTACCTCATATGTAGAAGTACCATTTTCAGTGAAGGCTACAACCAGAAAGAACATAATTAGCTAGCTCCTCAAAATTGGATGAAAGAGTATTACCACAATTTTATTTGGCCTATTGGAGTCACTAAGTAAGTCTTACGAAAATAAGAGGAAATACAAACGTTTAGACAGGTGTTGTTAACATCAGAAATTGGTGATTATGTTAAAAGAAACGAATATATGATCTGATAGTTGTAAGAAAAGAAAATGGAAATGGTTGCAGTTTATAAAACTCAATCTCCTAACACTTCGGATTTGTATACTAAAAATTATGTTGAATGCGATATGACATGTTTGCGTCTAAAAGAAATTCCACCAGGGTGAGTACATGGATTGCCAAAGATGGTGTATATATGACTATAACTAGTATTAGCAAGTACCAACAGGGGCAAGAAACACTGACTGTCAAAATCAAACACAATGTCCCAAACCATTAGAAAAGTTAAAGACTACAAATGCCTTGATCAAACTTAAAGAAAATAACATAAATGTAGAAATACAATCTCATTAAACCTCCTCCTGTCTCAGCATATAAAATGCTATTAAAACATGTCCATGAACAAAAAGGATCTCAATTCATAAAGTTGAGGATGAGATTTCATGGAATAAAGAGACATTTATATGGAATTTACTTGTTAAACCTCAATAATGAATTGGTTACGTAATCAAAACTGGTATAGTAAATGGCTTACAACTTGAACATACTTTCTAGTTCAACAGCCATATCTGCCATGTAATCTCTATCCTTTATCAGGAGGCTGCCAGGGCTGTTCTTAACATAAAATGAGTAGTAAAAATTTATTCCAAGGAAGTCCATTGAGCCCTTAACCAGATTTGATTCACTTTTGGTGAAGAAAGGAAGCCTTGAGCCACCATTCCTTTTCATGATGTCAGGATACTCTCCAAAAATTAAGGGATTCAGAAACCTTCAACACAAATCATAAACGAAATCAAGTCTAGAAATTAATTAATGTATGGAGAAAGAGCTATAACCTTGAAATTGGTTAAAGAAAAACACAGTGTTGGACGTTCATGACCATATCCATTACTTGGATAATGACAACAGACATGCTAAAGACAGATATTGAAAACAAGCTTCTACTTACCACCCAATATAGAAGTCTTGGGCCCTTTGAGCGGCACTTATATCTTCACTAGTATTTGTTAAAGGAAGAAAACCAAAAACGAGAAGATTAAACCCAATAAATCCCCGTTGCTTGTCCTGCATGTAGCAGAGGTTGTTTTCTAGACATTATATTTTGATTATCATCATCAAAATGATATCATAACCATCAGCTTATATAATATCCTGCATAACTAAGTTACTTAATGTAAAAGGAAGGCCTAGATGAATGACAAAGAAGAGTGGTGCATGTGACATTCATTAATTTACCTGATACTTCTTCCGATACAATCTAGCAGCTGATGCATGTGCTAACAAAATATGATGGGCTACCATATATGGTTCAGTTGAAGAATTTCCCTGGGAGCAGTTAAATATAAAGGAATGAGAACACCGCTGAGGTGGTAGAAATCCTGTATCATAGCCCCCAATTGCAAACACATTTCCCTCATTCACTGTGGTCCAATATTTAACTCTATCACCAAACTCTCTGAAGCACACATCTGCATATGCCGTGAAGTCTTTTCTACAAGCATACGTAAATCAATATATAACATGTTAGTCACAGAAAGATGATTTCCCTTTTAGGGCTAGATGCAGTTTGTTTAAACTCCTATCTAGCACAAGATGGTCATGCAGTTAGACACTTGGAAGTTTGAGAACCATACACAACTCTTCGACTAACCCATCCTCCATATTCATCTTCAAGTGCTTGTGGTAGGTCCCAATGATGTAATGTGACATGTGCTTCAATTCCTAGAAGATGAAGAAAATTAAAAAAGAATAAATATATAACTTGGAAGGACATAAGTGTTAATTAAATTTGAAAAGGTATTGTACTAAAAAAAAATAAAAAAATTGAAAAGGTAAATCTAGGTTGCAAATGAACCTTGGTTTATTAGTTCATTGATAAGGTTGTTGTAATACTGTAATCCCTTGGAATTGATTGGTCCTTTCCCATCTGGTAATATATGAGATCAAGGTCAGAACAAATAACATATCAGCTATGAAGCACCGACACTTCAAAAACTCTGACGTGTCGTGTCCGACACTTCCCGATACTCTCCGATACTCCGACACTCCCCGACACTCCAACACACGTTATAGAAATTCAAAAAAAGTTCAAAGGTTGCGTTGCGTTGGATTTTTAGTTCCAACTATTAGATTCGTTGGATTACGATTACTATTTTATTGAGTTTAATATAAATATTTTTGATATCTTATGTTTCTGTGCAAAATTGATGAATATTATAAGTTTAGTTTCATATTTTTGTTAAATTATTGAATATTAAATATAATATACACTACATAATTAAAAATATTATTTAATATCAAAACGTGTCCTAACGTGTCGAAATCTAACATTCTTTAGAATTAACGTGTCGGAGTGTCGTGTCACGTGTCCCATGTCAGTATCGGTGCTACATAGCATATCAGTTTGATGTAAGAAACTATAAATTCATAGATGCTCATGAAGAAAAGAGATTAATGCATGACACCAGAATCAAATCAAGTAAGTATATGTGAAGTACAGACAGCTTTTGACATTAATCAAACACCAGTCTTGAATCTAATACTCTTACTCTATGATCGCATATTTTAAATGATCATACCTGGAATAAGTCTTGACCATGATATGGAAAATCTGTAGGCATCTAAGCCCATTTTGGCCATGAGTTGGACATCTTCCTGCAAAACATGGAGGGTGCTTTATGGTACAAAGTATTTGGTAGATAAGAAAGATCAATTTAATTTATATATTCCCTTGATGGAATGTATAAGATGCTTCTTGTGCATACATATACCACATCTACTGACCTTATATTGGTGATACTGATCGCATGCAATGTCTCCGTCACCACTGTACATCTTTGCTGAAAGTTTAATTGCAATAGAGAATTATAATAAAACATTAATTACTCAAATACACCCTATTATAATTCAAAAGCACACACAAAAATTTAAGAAATGAAGTATATATGAGACAACTAATTAAGAAAGAGCACCATTGCCAGCATGTGCGAAGGTATCCCATATGCTTGGCTTCCTGCCATCTTCATCTGCTGCACCTTCAACCTTTCACATCATCCCAATTTCCAGGAGCATTGTTTAATGCAAAATTATCAATTAGAATTAAATGAAAAGACCAGCATAGTAAATAGTGATACTCAAATGAAAACGAAGGATGTTCATGCCAATGTTTATATTTATCATATATATTAAGAGAAAGAGTGCGCGAGAGAGAGGAGAACCTGATAAGCTGATGTTGATGCCCCGAACAAGAAGTGAGGTGGAAAATCATCCCTGCTCAAAGCATTAGTAACAGGAACTACTAACAATACAGCTGCTACTAACAAATGCATAAGAACAGAGACCTTCATTGATATTCTTCTTCTTCTTCTTTGAGTTGTGCTTTTGGAACATCAACATATGTAAGTATATTAGATTCTTTAACGATAAAACAAGTCTAAAATTCTTAATTATGTGGACAATACGAAGAGAGAGAGAGAGAGAGAGAGAGAGAGAGAGAGACCAGTGCTTGAATTGGTAGGTCGGCAGGGTCTGATATCACCTATGCTTTGTCTATTGTCTCGAGTAGAATAAGATACTCTTTCATAGCGTTACGTTTAAGAAAATCTAGATGTCGAGATTTCATTCCCATTAGAGTACAAAAAATGACGAATTTAATGCTTTCATGTTCATTCTATCTAAGAAAACAATAATTAAGTAAAAACAAAAACAATAATTTAAAAGTTTAATGTCGATACATTTGTCATCTTGTGACTGTCGCATCATTAAAAGAGTTCGACAATATATAAAATATTAGTATTATAAATAATATAACAACATATTATTTTATAACAGCATAAAAAAGTTATATAATGACAATAAGATTAAATTCATAAAGTAATTCATAAATGATATTATATTTTTAGAGTGGAAGAGGTAGGTGAGGTCTAGAATTAGTCTTGATTGTACAGTTTACAAGTATCGTAATAACATATTACTATTGTCTGCAAATGTTTTTGTATGCAGCAATCAATAACACGAGATTACAGTACCTTATTACTATTGTTTCCAGTGTTTTGTACCATTATCTGCCATGTAACTTGACCATTTTGTCCCTGTTTAATTTTTTTTTACCACTTTATCCCCTTCCCAAACAATTTATCAAAATGTACCTAACTGACCAATATTTATTTGACCCAAGTAGATTGATATATAATTTGAAAAGAGTGAAAGGAAAAAAGATAGTGATAAATTAATTTTAAAATGGAGACAAAATGATCGATGAGTGCTTGCTGAATGTGTGAATTGTAATGGTATTCTTTTTGTTTGTGACAGTATCTTTAGTTCCTCAAGACATACGAGATACGGATTTATCGATCTTCCAAAGAAACTTGTATGAGCAATCCTTAATGAAATACATCCTCACAAATCAGGTTCATGAAAAGCTCCACATCCGATTCTCATGAGTATATTTTGCAGTGGCCGTATATAAAGAAAATATTCGGAAAGCAAGCATTTTCTAATACGATTAGCATTAAATATACATAACTAGTTTTCTTCTTTTTTTTATCCCCTTATATCTAAAAGATTAATACAACAAAACATGACATGACCTGCATAACTCTATGCCTTAATGTCCCACGCTCTACTCCTTGTCCCAGGGTTTCAAAAGAAAATCTAAATGCATGTAGCTTGCAACATTATTTTTTGAACAAACTAGCCAGTTCACCTTTCTCATACATGGAGGTCAATATATCACAACCCCCAACCAGTTCACCATCTACAAAGATCTGAGGGAATGTGGGCCAGTTGCTGTACTTTTTAAGTGTTTCCCTTAATCCGTAGTTATAATCTTCATCCACCACATTTACACTCTCATAATCTACTCCTTCGTTTTCAAGAATGCCTATCACCCTCTGTGAGAATCCACATAGAGGTGCACTTCTAGAGCCCTTAATGAATGCAACTACCTTGTTCTCTTTTACCAACTTGTCAATAAGGTCCTCAAGAGGAACAGTTAATTGCACATGGCGACCAGGTGTTAATCGAAGATCAGGCTTCTTCTTAGGTTGTGGCCTGACCCAAGTAATGTTTCCTGATTCATTACCAGGTGGAACTTTTCCACTAACTTTTATGTATTCTTCCATCCAAGACTTCCATGCTTTGGTTAGAGCTTCTTTGTCAGGTTCATCCACTATCCCAGCCTACAGCACACAATCTAACAATAAAATATCCACCAACAAGAAAGTAATTTCACAATAAATTTGGATATTGGTGATCTTAATCAGATTAAAAAAAGTGTAACAGAGCATATTATAATGATACACATATTAGAAAAATCAAAGGCCAAAATTTTTCAACAGCCCTTATAACCTCCAATACTGTTAGTTTGCACATTGCATCTGTGCTTTCAGTCTACATTGGTAGTTTTAAATCATATTAAAAAGCAAGAAAAAGAAACAAATGAGCTGTAAATTATGAATAGGATGATTACTTAGACCATCCCTTTGGTTTTCCATTTCTATAACCCAGATAGTGTAAATAAGATGAGTAAATTTCGTTTCTCAAAACTCCTAACTCATGGTAAACAACAAAGGTTTCACGTTCAGGTTCTAGGAATGATATAAAAATGGTGTTGGATGAACCATGCTCGAACAGAATTAGTTGGAATTTTGATGAACTGGTAGAGAAATAATAAACAAAAAAACCCTAATTCATGGGGTTGGATTGTAGGATAATCTTTTGAGATGATATTAGTCATGATGTTAAAGAATAAAGTTCATGCAACTCTAAACAAACAACGCATAAAAAAAGTGAAATAAAGTATCTACTTTCATTATAAAACATCATTGGAGAACCTCATCAAACATAAGGTTGGATCAAAACTAACCTCACTCAGAAAAATTTAAAAACTAGCACAAGATTGTACTACATAAACTATATCATTCTATATTTACAAAAAAAAAAAAAAAAAAACTATATCATTCTATTAAAGACATTCATTTATTAAACAAGTATCCAAGTTCTCAAGCTTGGTTTTAGATGGCTTTATATAATTTCGAACCAGCACATTGATAAAGACCATGTTCATGAAGATACTTCACTTCATTCAATGATGCGAATTCTATTATGCATCTCTTTAATTATCATAAAGTTCTAAGATTATAAAAAATAAAGTAATGTCACGGAGCCTTACCTTGACGGAGCCGCAGAGCTCCGGCACCGATTTCCGGTGAGTCGAAACGCTTGCCGCAATGTTACGCGATAAACCAATGAACTGAAGCTCACCGTTGTTGTCGTAAACGGCGTAAACGCCGGCACCCGACGGCAGTTCTCCGGCAGGTCCATCGTTTGCCAGCGACACAGTCACCGCCTCTGTCGCACCGAGGTTCTTCACGGCCAGAGCCACCGCCCATGTCCGAGGCTTCTCTGAATTGTAGGGTTTTGGAGAAATTGGGCGTAGATTCACAGAGGGTTTGGTGTGTAAATTGAACGAAAGGGTAGGGGCATTTTGGGGAAAAGAAGAGAACAAACGATGAAAGGGGAGAGTTTGCAAAGAAGAGAGGTTGATGGTAGCCATTGATGAACGGCCACAAGTAACACAAGTGTCTGATATGATAAAAACAATGGCTTCAGCTTCACTGGTTGCTCTTGCAAAATGGGTACAAGGTGAGCCCAGGCCCAATTAGATTATTTTGGATTGATTCAAGGTCCACAGGCACAGCAAGTGATAGGGCATTCAAAATGACTTCACCCATCTTTAGTATTCTAAGAGGATTTGACCCCTGTTGAAAATACTGACATATTGATAGGTATGGTATCAAACATTCTGTGGTGCATTATGCACAACTGAAAGAATTGAATACAATGTAGCTTCATCTTACAATGAAATGATAAAAAGACAAATCATACTAAATACGTTACACAAATATCATTTTCATATGTTAAGAAATTCTCACTCATTCCTCAAGATTCAAGGCACATTTGTTTAAGTTTCATGTACATTTATACCTTTTACCTCACCTACTTTCTGTCAAGTACGAAATCCAACCCTTTGACAATCTCTCTTCCTCATTTATTGAAGAAACTATACTTATTTTTCTTCCCTCTTTGCTTCTCTGCTAATTTTTTCCTACTCTTCTTTTTTCAATCCATGTCAATTACTATATGTATATATATCACCACTTGTTTTTCCTTCTTTTGGCAAGAATTACTATTAATGTCAATTTCTCGTTTCATATGATTTCATAGGAATTTGATTTTATATTAGCAAAGGAAACGAGATGGTGTATAACTTCAAATATACTTCATTTGAGCCTCCGAGAGAAAAGAAAAACTTGTGATAATAGTGAATGAAATAGATAGCAATTGATAGCCAACTAGATGGGCGCAACATAAACATTTATGTTAAAAAGACAAAAAGATACAATTTTCCGAATATCCTAAAAAGAAATTTTATTATATATAGTTCTATGTCACGGAATAATTATTGAGTTCTGAATAATAACATGCCAAACTACCGTGGGCCATTCATTCAATATCCAAAGTTTCAAAGGGAGTGAAACTTTTTGATATCAATCTGTGTCACGGTGAAAATTAATTATACATAGTTCTGTGTTGTTGGTTTTACATCATTCAGATTCTTTTCTAAAGCTCAGCCAATACTAGGTAACCTACCCGGGTCGGACTGGACATAGTCGAGTCGAAGCTCCAATCCAAAAAAAAAAAAATTCTTTTCTAAGGGTTGGTTCAATCACCTCAGGAGACTCACCATGTATAATATATGTACTATGCAAAACGCAACCTGATAAAAAGATTGTGTAAGAAATGATATATAGGAATCGTGTCTCCTATGCTATTGACAAACATCTACCAGCTGGTATCAACACACATGCAATCATGCTGAAACACAAGTCATGAGAGCGTGAATTAATTGGAGAGACTCAACAAACCTTCTAATAACATATCTCCAACCTGATGGATGTTCCTCACGGTCTACATAAAATATAAGAAGCATAGTGGTTGGATCAATGTATAACTTCCACTACAGTGACATAACAAGAGCCTAAAATATTAGCGTAGTTAATTCATGACAAAAGCATACTATGCTTTAACTTCACTCCTACTCAAAAATCCATAATACCCCCAAAACCCTCTTAACAACATCATCATCATTCTGTTGTCCTGTGCATTAATTAATACTCTTTCTTCCCATTCGGCTTCCTTTAAGCTTCTGTCACCCCCATTCCCATGATCCCTTCAGGAATAATGAAGCCTCCCAGAGGAAAGTTTCCTCTGCAAATCATTATAATCACAATCTGCGTTCTTCTCTTCATAGCAGTCTTGTATGCAGAGAGACTCAGTTTTCTATCTTCCAGCTCTATTTTCAAGTTCAAAACCTGTCCCAGAAAGCATACCAAATCAAAATCTAGTAAGTTAGCTTCACAAATGTCATAACTCATAACTATCTTACATAATTTTTGCCTTCTTTGTCTCTTACCAATTTTTCTCAAATGCAATGATATCCCATTATGTCCTTGTCCAACAGTTGATAGAAGAACAGAAGATGTGCGTGTAAATGCCTCATGGATTGACGATAGGTTCGATTTTGACCCAGAGGAGTGTAATGTAGCTAATGGAAAATGGGTATTTAACCATTCATCAAAGCCTTTGTACTCAGACACAAGTTGTCCATACATAGATAGACAATTTTCTTGTGTCAAGAATGGAAGGAATGATTCTGACTACCTCCATTGGGAGTGGCAGCCTGAAGATTGTACCTTGCCTCAGTAAGTCTCACACTTTTTTATGTTTTATTCATCTTCTACTTTTTGACCATTGAGGTGTATATTTAACTAATCTAAGCCACATTCTAAAATGACTATATTTGGTAGATTCAATCCAGAGCAAGCCCTCAAAAAGCTTCAAGGAAAGAGGCTGCTATTTGTTGGGGATTCACTGCAAAGAAACCAATGGGAATCTTTTGTCTGTTTGGTCCAAGGTATCATACCTAAAAAGCAGAAGTCAATGAAACGAGGGCGTGTTCATTCAGTCTTCAAAGCCAAGGTAATGAATGATACATTGAGTATATTTTCAAACATGTAGATTCAAGCATCTACAACTCTAACAGAACCTCTTATGGTTCTGAAACATGTAATTACCAAATAAATACAAGAAAAGCTCCTGGGAAGTCCTTTGGATATCAAAACTGATTCTATTGTATATGTGTGTGTTTCATATAGGAATATAATGCTACCATAGAATTCTATTGGGCCCCATTTCTTGTGGAGTCCAACACTGACATTCGTATCATAGGAGATCCAAAGAAGAGGATAATAAAAGTGGATGCTATCACTGAGCGTGCCAAAAACTGGACTGGAGTGGATATTCTTGTTTTCAATACCTATGTTTGGTGGATGAGTGGTCTTAGGATTAAAGCATTGTAAGTCCTCTTTGAACCTATCTTTCAAATTTTGAAATAAATTATTTGATGGTCATAATTATCTCTGTCATTCATCTTTTGTTCATGATCATTTTCATTCATCAACAATCAATATACTACACCATTTGATCTTTAACCAAATGGAAGAAAATGTTAGTCTTATGCTTAGCTTATTTGCAGATGGGGTTCATTTGCCAATGGAGAAGAAGGCTATGAAGAATTGGACACATCAATTGCTTACAAATTAGGTTTGAAGACATGGGCAAACTGGGTGGACTCAACTATCAATCCAAACAAAACCCGGGTCTTCTTCACAACTATGTCCCCTGCACATACAAAGTCTCTATCTCTCTCTCTCTTTCTCTCACACACATACACACAAACACAAAAACTTCAACCTTCAGCTTTCTACTTTATGTCAAGTAGTTCTTTGAAGCATGTTTCAAAAATCCTCAAGTTTAGTGAACACTAGTGCTAAAAAACTTATGATTCTAACAATTCAAATGTCACGTTTATTTTATTTTTTTCAGAAGCGCGGACTGGGGCAACATGGATGGTGTCAAATGTTTCAATGAGACAAAGCCTGTAAGGAAAAAGAATCACTGGGGAAGTGGTTCTAATAAGGGTATGATGAGTGTGGTGGCAAAAGTGGTGAAGAAAATGAAAGTTCCAGTGAGTGTCATCAACATAACACAGATCTCAGAGTATAGGATTGATGCTCATTCCTCAGTTTACACTGAAACTGGTGGTAAATTGTTAACTGAGGAGGAAAGGGCTAACCCACTAAATGCAGATTGCATACATTGGTGTTTGCCTGGAGTTCCAGATACTTGGAATCAAATATTTTTTGCAATGTTATAACAAATACAAATGGTCAAAGGCCCATGCCCTTTCTTTCTTTTTTTTCTTTTTTTCTTTTTTTGACATGAAGATGTCAATTATGTAAAGGTATGTTTCACCAATTCACCATTCATCCTTCATTGCCATTTGTGTGATATAAACATACATGCATCATAAATGCCTACAAGGAGATTCAAGCTTACATAAACACCAGATATACGATTTTAGTAAAATTCTTGATCATAGCTCGTATGAATTAAACAGATCAAGTTGCAAGCCAGGTACTTAATGGTCGGGATCAATCATAGAATACGAACGCTGATTGAGTCCAATTAAGCTTCCGTCCTATGAATCCAGAAAGAAATAGGTAAAAAAGAATATGCCTGATATAAATCATATACATATGAAATATGAAATAAGAATCTGATAAGAGGATATGATAGGGTATCGTATCATCTCTTTCTCTTGTTTGGTGGGTCAATAGAGTATGATTAGCTTATCCTATTGTCTCATTTTATCCTAGCCATTACATGATTTCTTATCCTATGGGGGAGCTAGGTTAGGATTCAATAGGATAAGATATTAATATTGGATACCCAATATATCCCCACTATATATCGCCACTATATATCCCCACGCTACCCAATATATTTGTATTTATTGTATTATATTTTATTTTTTCTTTCTCCTTCTTCCTTCTACATAATCTTATCAGATTATTAATCAAGTGCTCATCAAACACAGGAAATGATATAGGCTTATCAGCCACATATCATATCCTACTCTTATACTATCTTGTCCACCAAACGAGCCCTAAATACCCAACTCAACTCATGGCCTTGTATAAGCGAGAAAACGAAAAGTAGCAAGATAAAAATAAAATAAAAAACAAACACACGAAAAATCAAAAAATAACAAAAACAAAGGGTTTGTTTGATTGTATTCTGTATTTTATGTTCTTAAAACAGTTTAGTAGAATAGTCAATGAAATATATGTTTTCTGTGTTTTATTTGTTTTGAAAGTTTAAAATCAAAATACAAAACAAAAACAACTCATATTCTCTAAATTTGATTCTAAAAACAAAAACAAAAAATAGTTATAATTTTTAGAATTATTTTTATAAAACAGGCTTTATCAAAGTTTTTTTATTTTCTTTTTTGTTCTAAAAATCAAAAAATTATTTTTAAAAAAATATTCAAAAAGCCCAAAAAATACAGTTTTTTTTATTTTCAGAACAAACAAAACATGTATCTAATGGCTTAAATATTTAATAAATCAGAACAAAAATTATATGTGGGGCAGGATCTTCTTACACCAATGTAAGAATAAAGAGTCTTACACTAAATCTTGATC